TCTTGGAAGTACCAAAAGTACTCATTAATATTAGATTTTAACAAGTCAAGAATGTATGTTGTAATCTCTAGAGTAATCTTTAGATGAGTGATAAAAAATGTATAGATATTAGAGGAGATAAATAGAAAAATACTTAGACAACCTAAATGAAGGCAAATAAGTAGAGTTAAAAGAACAGAATAGATGGGACAAAGAGAGAATGAGTAAATGAGAGGCAGATTTTAAGTAAAATATGTGAGTTATTTCATTACTACAAATGGAACATATATACTAATTAAATGACAATTGTCAGACTAGATTTAAAACATGTGCATGCAATTATATGCTGCTTACAAGAGACACACCTTAAACATAAGGAAACAGAGAGGTTGAAAGTAAAGAATAAGGAGGATTTACCAAACACACACTAACCAAAGAAAGCTACTGCAGCCATACTAATTGCAAAGTAAACTTCAAGGCAAAAATCAAAACTAGAGATAAGGAAAGATTTTTCATAATTATAAAGGTTTCTGTACATGTGTAAAATCTCATAATTCTAAATATTTAAGCACTCAAGACTCTAACTTCAACATATATAAAGCAAATATTATCAAAGTAAAAGGAAAAATAGAAAATCCACAATCATTATTGAGAGAGGTTAGTATATATTTCTCTCAATATCAGACAGAATATGTAGACAAAAAAATCAGTAGGGATATGGAAGAGTTGGACAACACAATTAACAAACATCATTAAAAGACATAACTAGGATACTCAAATCAATCCTGCAGAATTCATTTTCTTGCAAGGAAACAGGAAATATTTAACAAAACTGACCCTATTCTGGGCCAAATTTCAAATACTGAAACCACACAGAGTATGTTCTCTGACCACAGTGGAATTAAGCTAGAATTCAGTATCAAAAAGGGATACAGAAAATCTCTAGGAAATTATAAATTAAGAAAGACAATCATAAATAATTCATAGTTAAAGAAAAAGATGATGATGGAAATTAGCAAATAGAAAGAATGAAATGAAGAGCATAAAAATAACTGATACGCGGGGGATGCAGCTAAAGCAGTGAAAACAGGGAAATTCATATCCTTAAATGTATGTGTCATAAAAGAACAAAGCCTGGAAAATCAAATATCTGAATCAAAAAATTGTTAATCAAAAATAAATTCAAAGAAAGAAAGTAAAAGAAAAGAAAGAGCAAGGAAGAAACCAATAAAATTGAAAATATACAGTATGGCAAGAAAAAAAGATATAAGTATTAGAAAAGATAGTATAATTGTGCAGAAATAAAATCTGAAAGGCACCACAGAAACTGTTATAATTAAGAAGTGATTTAACAAGATTTCTGGATACAGATTAGACTACCCAAATCAATTCGTATTTCTACATATCAACAACAATTAGAAAACAAAAATTTTAAAAGCATACTATTTATAATAACATAAAAATCAATACTTGGAATAAATATAAGAATGTATAAGACCAGGAAAATGATAAAATATTATTGAGAGAAATTAAAGGCAAATAAATGAAGGGGCACATAGTGTTTGTCGATTGAGAGACTAAATACTGAAAGATATCAACTCTCTCCAAAAGTATCTACTGATGTAATGCAGCCCCTATAAAAATGCCAGTAGGACTTGTTTTCTGGAAAGCTGATTCTAAAACATATTTGAAAATACCAGAGGCCAATAACACTCAGGACGTTTTGAACAAAAACAAAAAAGTAGGAAGTCTACTGGATATAAAATTTTATTATAAAGCTACAATAATGAAAATACATGTGTCTTCGGCACAATGTTAGGCATAATAGAGTGTTCAGAAACGATACTTGATTTGTGAAGGTTAACACTGTACAGCAGTGAAAAAATAATCTTTAGTGAATGGTGCTGGGTCAAGTAGATACCCATATTAAAATATGAAAATGAATCCCTAACTAACAGCATATACAAACTAGTTGGAATTCATTTTTGTAAGTGTAAAGATAAAAGCTAAAATAATAACAATTACACAAGATCACATGGGAGAATATTTTCATCATTTGGGAGTTAGAAAAAGTTGTTTTTTTTTTAAACAGAGCACAGAAAGAAAAAAAAAAATCCCACTAATCTCATATAGGAAAAGATGAATAAATTGAGTTACGAAAACTTAGAGATTTCTGTTAATCAGTGGCACCAGTAAGAGAACAAAAAGGCAAATCAGAAGTTGGGAAAAAATATCTCCAACACTAGGAAGCAACACTGTTTGTATGCAGGATATATAAAGAACTCCTTCACACTAGTCAATAAAAGACTGAAAATCTAATAGAAAAAAAGAGACCTGAATTGGTACTTCACAAAAAAGGATGTTCAAATCGTCAATAAACATATGAAAAAATCTTCATTCTCAATAGTAACAAAGAAAAATGCAAAGTGATCTACTACACACCCAACAAAATTATGAAAATAGAAAAACAAAAAACAGGGTTGGTAAAAATATAAAGTAATCAACTTCCGGGCACTGCTAGTGAGAGGATAACCTGGAACAACCTATAAGTTATAAAACAGTGAAAATAAGTGGCCAGCTGCCAAATGCAACAAAAATGGATGTCTCACAAACATACTGTCGACCAAAAGTACTTAGAAACAAACAAACACACCCTGTATGAGTCAATTTATATGAAATATAAAAAAGTCAAAGTCAATCTATGGTGTTAGCAGGATAGTATTTATACCTGGGGAATAAGAAGGGACTAGTGTTTGTGAGGAGGAAGAAGAAAGGTTTCTGGGGTGTTAGTAATGTTCTATTTCTTCACCTGAATGAGAGTTACACAGAAATTGTGATAATTTGCAAAGCTGTACACCACTGCTTCTCAACCCCAAGTGACTTTTGCTCTTCAGGGGACATTTGGCAATGTCTGGAGGAACTTTTCATTGTTACCACTGGAAAAGGGTGGAGTGCTACTGGCGTCTAAAGGGTAGAGGCCAGGGATGCTGCTAAACATCTTATAGTACACAGGACAGCCCCTCCCTCCTCCACAAAGAATCATATTGTCCAAAATATCAGTGATGTTGAAACTGAGAAATTCTGTTGTACACTTGTCATTTGTGCCCTTTTGTGTAAGTTAACTCTAGTTTTTAAAAAAAGCCATGTGCATGTTTTTTTATTCATAAACAGAAAGGATGCTGGCCTCTTTCCAAGTTTTCCTCTTTCTATTCATTTGCTTCTTGGTAACTTGATATGTTGTCCTCTAGTGGTCACTAAGGGTGGAGAGGGAAAAATGCTCCCGCAAAATTGTATACAAGCAAAACTATAATTGAGGAAATTCTGTCCATTAATTATTTCCTCTGTAACTCATTATTTGACTATACTGGAAGAACCTTTATATCCAACTCTGAAATGCCAAGTAAAGGAAAGCAGAATTGGAGAAAGCATTATCCCACACAGAAACAAATTTTCTAGGAAGAGTCCAGGGTCTAAAAGAGCAACCTCTGCATTACTGACGTGAGTCACAGATGTATCATGTTTCTTTTAAGTAGAAATCAAAGTGCATTATTGATACTTTTCTGTATATGTATATGGAGAAATATCCAAAGTAAATACTTTGATTTCATGGGAAAAGCAGGAAGGTACCCAGGATAACTTTTGCATCTTGATTTGCAGATGACTAAACTCAGTTTAGAAAAAGAATACCAATATCAACAAAAGCTACGTTGCAACACGTTACGTCAATGATTCCATCAGTGCTCATTCCCCCAGATCTGGTAAATGATGTTTGCCAATGACTAAGAGGTAAGTATGAAGAGGAATTTATGTGAGACAAAGAACTGAAGATGGTGGCCTAGGTGAATCAAAGTAATGTATCCAAAGAAAGAAATGAGATAACTTAAATGGTTCATTTCTTTAGAGCTGCTTATCTCAATGTAGTGTTGGAAACATAGTATGAATTGCTCAATTTATGATCAATTTTATGAAAAGTACAGGAGAAATAACATTGGTTAAATAATGCAATCAGTGAACACAGGAGACCTCAACAGAACACAGTCATCCTCATTCAGAGAAGTTGGAAATGAAGGTCACTCACTCTTACTACTAAACTATTCACTTTTCCTCCTAAGATAGCCTCTTAACTCCTGTAAGAGAATGAGTTAGTGAGGATAAAAGATAAACCAAACCCAACCAAACCAGGTAAACCTGATGTGATGCCAGCATCCCCGACCTCAACCACGGGAAAGAGAGGTCAACGTGGAGTTGCCTTGAGATGAGATTATTAGGCACCATCCAGAGCAGAAGAGATGAAGGGACCCTGAGAGGGAGAAAACATACCAGTTGATCCAGGGTCAGATTTCTTAAAAGGATGGAATTTGGCATGCCCAAGGAGTAGTAGAGACCTTATTGTGCTTGGACTCCAGTTTAACTGAACTTAGAAAACAATGACTCTTGAGTTGCACCCTGGCTGGCAGAGTGAAACCCACAGCCATGACATTCCCGCAGGCTAAACATGGAGGCAAATGATAAAGCTGTCTCCCTTCACCCTTTCTCAAGAACTAGGTTGGGAGGAAATTCAGGGGCTACTTCAGCTGATGTGAAGAGCAGGCTGGATATTTGATACTCATCCTGCCAGTCACCCCAAATGTCTAAGAATGTCTCAAGGGCAATTGTCTGTGCCTTCTGAGAAGCCATGCGGAGCCAGGTGTGGCTCTAAGAAAGCCAGAGGGTGGTTTTCAGATGCAGCAAGAGACCATGTTCTGTGAGGCTTCCAGTTGTACTGTGTTTTATACTTTTAAAAAATAAGCATATTGTTCCGTCTTCGTCTGTTTGTCCCTTCCTCTCTCTCTCTCTGTCTCTCTCTCTCTCACACACACACACCACACTCTGCCAAGGCAGTGCTGAGCCTGTGGCTGGGCTACACTTTTAGTTCTACACTCTATCCCTACCTTTTAAATATTCTTCTTCCTTCTTGCTTTCCCCACTCCAAACCCTTCAGTCATCAAAACTGACTTTCCACACAAAGGCAAGAAACTCACGCGACTTTGGCACAGACGGTGCACCGCCAGCTGCCATCAAGGCCTGAGACCCGGCACTGGCTGCACACTCTGAGTGAGCAGGCCTGGCACGGGTCTCCGCGGTCGAATATCAAGCCCAGGTTTCTCTGACAGTGAGCACAGACCCTGCTGGTCTCGTGCTGAGTCTTCCCACTTCTACGTTTTGCTTCCAAGAGTTCATTTTTCAGCTTCCTGGAAAAAGAGAAAAAAAAATCACTTAAAAAAAACACCAAAAACAAACCAGAGGAGCAGAGCTATCTTCATTTAAGGGGTGTTTTCATTTGCAAGAATATTTGAAAGAATCAAGGAGTTAGAGTCAAATGACTCAAAAAACACAGTTTCTCCCTCCAGAATCAATAATCCTTTGATCTCAGTAGTGGAAAAACATAATGTTTCTGTTTTACTTTTGACATCTTCCACTAGCACTACTATTTTGCTATTAGTATTTATTTACATTCTATTCTATCTTCTCCAGGGTATCCTTGATACCATAACATGGGAATACAACCCCAGTCTACAGGCATGCACAATACCATGTTCTCTCCTTGCCTAGATATATTACATGAGGCAAGAGTGTGAAACCAAGCTTGGCAACATGGGTACTTTCCTTAAGTGAGCCAATGAAGAGTTTGCTGCAAAGACACTGTCCATCATTTCAGGTCAAAATGCTTCCGCTTAGCATATGAGGGTTTCCAACAACTTCCACTGACCTGGGGGCTCTGCTATTAGATATGCCTTTCTTTGAATAAAGGTTCCATCATGAATTAGTTGTTCAACCTTAAACAATGATTTACCCACTCAACTTTAGTCTCTTCAGTTCTAAACTGGGAGTATTAACATTCTACTGGGACTGTTTTCTTGTTTTTTTTTTTTTTTTTTTTTTTCATTTCACACGTAATTGAGATCATGCAATATTTACCCGTTGCGGAGCACAGGCTCCGGACGCGCAGGCTCAGCGGCCATGGCTCACGGACCCAACCGCCCCGTGGCCTGTGGGATCCTCCCGGACCGGGGCGCGAACCCGTGTCCCCTGCATGAGGCAGGTGGACTCTCAACCACTGCGCCACCAGGGAAGCCCAACATTCTACTGGGACTGTTTTTAAGATTAAATGAGAAGATGCTGGACTAGGAGGACATGGAATTCACATCTCCGCACAACTAGGGCACCTCGCAGGCACCAATGGGAGACCACGGACACCTAAGGGGATGGGAGGAACCCCCCAGCAACCAGGTAGGACGTGGGGAGTGGGGGGGGGAGTGACAGGGAGTGAAGGGGGAGGAGAAGGGGAGGCAGGACAAGACCAGCGCCCCTGAGGGGTGGTTGTGGGAGGGGAAGGGATCCCACGCCCGAAGGGGGAAATTGGGGAACCACTGGAAGGGCAGAGGATCAAAAGGGAGCGTGGCCAGGTTCCCCCCCGCCCACTTGGGCCCCCGGGAGCCTGCTGAGATCCCGGGCCTGATCCTCTGCCCACCGAAGCGTGGCCAGGTTCCCCCCGCCCACTTGGGCCCCCGGGAGCCTGCTGAGATCCTCTGCCCACCGGGGCCCCCTCCAGCCGCGCAGGTCCTGAGGGAGTGGGAGGGAGGGAAGGGGCAGCAAAAGTAAAGGCCGGAACTACAGGACCAACACAGCTGAGGGGCGGCTGGGGTAGGGGCGGAGTTCCTACACCCAGCGGGATCCACCCACAGGTTAGGGGTCCAGCGGGGACGGGGGAGAACAGAAGGGAACGTGGTGTGTGTGTGGGGTGGGGGGTAGTGGAGGAACGGAAGGGAACGCAGCCAGCACTTTCCCTATCCACTTAGGCACCAGGGAGCCTGTTGGGCTCCAGGGCCTAATCCTCTGCCCTCTGGAGCCTCCCTCCTGCCGTGCAGAGCCCAAGCCCCACCCCTACACCCCCACCCAGGGCCCTACTGCTGCACTCGGAGACCCCATCCAACACTGTGCCTAAACCCCACCCGCACACCCTCACTCAGGGCCCTACCTCCAAACTCCGGAACTCCACACTCCAGAAGCCCTCCTTTCCACGTGGTGCCTCTCCCCTTCCCCGCAGGTCCTAAACAGAGGCCCCGCCCCGTGCTTGAACTTTGCCCTGCCTAGGCTCCGCCCCCAAGGCCTTTTCCAGCTGTGGTCCTGGGCCTGGGCCCTGACCCATGCTCAAACCCACCCACCCACCCACATGTAGGTCCCGCCCCACCCTAGACCCCACCCCTGCCTAAGTCCGTTTTTCCTCTTTTAGATTAGGATTCTGTTTTACCTTGTTGATTCCTTTATATTTTTATTTTTTCTAATCATTTATTTTTCTAGTTTTATTTTATTCTTTACACTTTGTTATTGTTCTGCTCCTTTTGGCTTGTTTGCCTTTTTCTGTTTTTTTTCCCCTCTTTCTGTTGTGGTTTTATTTTACCTTGTTGCAGTTGTTTCAATTATATTTTAATTTTTACTGATATATTTTGTATCTTTCTAATTTTATTTTATTTTTTATTCTTCGTTATTGTATTGCTCCTTTTTTCTTTTTCTTTTCTTTTTTTTTTTTTTTTGCCATGCCACATGACTTGCAGGATCTTGGTTCCCAGGCCGGAGGTCGGGCCTGAGCTCCTGTGGTAGGAGCTCCGAGTCCAAACCACTGGACTAGCAGAGAACCTCACCCCAGGAAATATTAATCGGAGTGAGGTCTCCCGGAGGTCCTCATCTCAGCACCAAGACCGGGCTCTATCCAACTGCCTGCAAACTCCAGTGCTGGACGCCTCAGGCCAAACAACCAGTAAGACA